TACTACAATAAATATGTGTTACCATCTGTCCTATTTTCTCTGCTTTTCCGGTATCATGGGCCAATGAACGCAGACTTCTGCATGACGTAACAAACAAATTAGTCAGCTGTAGGTTGATCCCCAGTGGTCGGATGAATATCAGATGTACTACTACTGCTCGCTTTTGCGTTGAGTAGCCTTTCCATAGTTTTTTTCAGTTATTCTAAGGAGGTGTTGAAAAGTATAAGTAAGATATTAAACACTTGTATATCCTTACCATAAATAGCAATTTTAGTTGAGCACTAGCTCATAAGACGTTGTTAAAAAGGTACGGTGCGGTAACTCCAAGGAAGGCTAGACCTAGAATAATATGTCACAAACAACGATATTTTCTGGCTTGCATGAAATGTTTATGATTAATTTAATGACTCTTCTTGACTATTCAGCAGACTTATACTACTATATAGGCCACAGCATATTTGGAAATAGAAATTAATGGCTGTTTCTGTAATGCACGGTTGTGTGAAAGAGAAGAAAATAATCAATTTTACTAATGTCGGTTGTTCTAAATCTAAATTCATAGAGTCGACAAGAACCTGGGAAGCAATGATAAGTTATGCCGGAGTGGAAAGAAGTAGCATTGGAAACGATTGAGAGGTGAGAAATCAAGTTGTAGACAGACAGTTGATGTTTTAAAATATAGTCTATAGTCCATACTCATACTGTCATATGGCATTTCAGACTGTGATATATCAAAATTTAGTGTAGATATAGTCTAGTAATGGTATGCAAACACTGCTGGACTGTAGTACATGCAATGAGCATATATACGCTCATTGAGTACATCAAATATGATTTTCTTCCTCATTTTAGATACTGTACTACAAAAGAAAACGGCAATGTTCCACCAATCCGACCTAACGCAGGCTCTAATCCCTGCTGCTATTAAAGAGATTAAACAAGAAGTCTTGAAGTGTAAAGGTATATGAGAATCATAATAGTTGCAAACAGCTTAGATGGGCTATTCATATTGAAATACTTTGGCACTTTTCTGCAATTGGAACTGCCCATCAAACTCATGTTGGAGACTTCATTGAGGTTTTCAATTTTTTTTCTCAACTATGAAGATCTTTTGAGGTTAACGAGGCATTAATAAATAAAGCTGAGGAATTTGTTTGTTCTCTGTATGAAGAGGATATGAAGAAGTAAATGATACCAGGGCACGTCTATTTAACACTGGCAAACATAAGGATTATACTCTGCCACCTAACAATGATTCACTGAAGAAGCATGTGGCCCTCAAATCAGTTCTTGAGTTGGCAAACTGCAAGTGTAAGAAAAATAGTCAAAATAATTTATGCAAGTGTGCCAAAATCAACTTAAATTGCACAGATTTTTGTTTTTGTATTGACTGCAAAAATCACAGTACACTTATAGAGGAAAAGTCGATTTTCGAGATAGTGGATTTCGAAAACAATTCAGAAGAAAGTGAATTAGATATTGCATTTGATTTAATAAGTATCATTTATTTGTTTGTTTTTCGGACATTTGTTAGTGTCGTAGTCCTGTTTCTAGAAATAATATTGCCTTTGTTCAAATACATAACCACATAAACTAAAAAAAGACTAATTGTAATATTTCTGTTCACTATGTTATGTACATATTGTACATTCATTTAATTTTCTTCGACTTTTCCGGTAAATTTCTAAGTGAGAAATAACCGATTTATTTGTGTTTTCGTGCTCACGATGTTAATTTGTGACTTCATTGCTTAAAAACAAACACGTTTGATAGCTTCTATAAAATGGATGTAGCTTTTTATGCTGTTCTTGTTGTAAACTGCTTGTGGTTATTACATAAAATTTATTCGCTAATGTCAATCAGCGTTGTTGGTGTCGCTGCTTTCGAGGTCACTCGCGACTCCTGTCACACAATTAAAGTATTTTTTGTTGTTGGTCACATGTATGCCATATTTTTCGTAATCTACCTAACAAATTATGATTGACTGAGGAAGTCCGATTTTGGTCAGGCAAAACATTACAGGAATACATTTGTGTTAGTGTGCTGTAGGGCTCTTGAATTGCATAGTTCTTATGCATGTGTTGTAAACTTATGGTTATTGAATTTCCGGAAACCTCTTATATTCAATTTTGCATCAGGATTGTGGAACAAGTTGTAATGCGTTCAGTGTGTTCATTTTCACACAAAACTGAAGAATTTATTTAGTTACCAGATGTGCGCTACGAAACTCATTTTCTGGGCGTTTTCAAGGCTTCGTCTCACGGCCCATATCCGTGGTAAGGATCTACAAGTGTTAATAACTTACTTATACATATTTCAACAGCGTCTTAGGTTAGCATAATTTAACTAATAATAACTAAACAGGGCTATGGAAAGGCTGCCCAACTCAACGCAAGGTCGAGCAGTAATAACTAATATTCATCCGCTCGCTAAGAGCTGATTCGATTCAGTTGTTACGTCATGCAGAAGTCATTGTTCATTGCCGAAAATGTAGAGAATATAAGACAGATCGTAGCACATATTTCTTGTAGTAAAAGCGTCTTTTCTGTAAAACGTGCAACTTTTGGAAGTGGGAACAATGCAATATTTGTTACTAAATTTTTAAGGAACATTTTAAAATCATTTTCAGGTAGTTACCTGATGTGCGCTACGAAACTCACTTTCTAGGCGTTTTTCAGGGCCTCGGCTCGCGGCCTATTTTGTCTTGCTCGGGTAACACATGTCTGGCTTAGCTCACACTTGTTTTGCTTGTCCCACACATTTCCTGCTTGCATCACACTCATCTTATTTGTTCCATGCTTGACCTGATTTTTCCATACTTGTCGTGATAGTCCACATGTAATGAATGCTTTTCTCCAAATTGTCCCGATTGTCCCATACTTAATCTGCTGTTCATGATTGTATCAGACTTGTCTTGCTTGTCCCACAGTTGCTCTTTTCGCCCCACATTTGTCTCGATTTTACCACACTTGCATTGCTTGTCAAATAATTGTCTTGCTATGTCAATCATGTCCTGCTTGTATCACACTTCTCCTGCGTATATCACACTTGCTCTGCTTGTCCCACATTTGACTTGCTTCGCCAGACTTGTATTGCTTGTGCCATATTCCTGTTCTTTGTCCCACAGTTTCCCCGCTCGTTTCACACTAGTTCTGCTTGACTGACACTTGTCTTGCTCGAAGCGCACTTGTTATGTTTGTCTCCTATTTGGGCAGCTTGCTCACGCTTCTTGTCATGCTTGTGTCACACTTGTCATACTGTTAACACTCTGGTCCTGTTTGACCTATACTAGTCCTGTACTCCCCACACCTATTCCGATAGTGCCACACTTGTAATGCGTGTCTTTTACTCGCCCACTTATTCTATATTTATTCTGCTTGTCTCACACATGTCCTGCATAGATAGGGTTAATTTTGTGACTTCAAAGCGGGACGCCTCCAAGACAACGAACGACCCCTTAGCTGTGATTGTGTAACTTTTACATTTTCCGCTTTTACTACATAGGCCTACATTTGAAGCTATCCCAATTGTCTTCATTGACCATATTGTCATCGAGAGTTCATTCGCATATTCTCTGTCCAAATATCGGGTTCAGTTCGAAAAATAGAAAGGAATTGATGTTAATGATATGGTACAAATAATTCGAATTTGAACTAATTACTATTGGTTTTACATATGATACGTTTGCTAAGAATGTTAGCGTGAAATAACTCATTCACCTTCAGTAAGTAGGCTATCGCTGCGCTACACATAAACAACAGTAACGAGAACATGTTCGTGTAGTATGCTGGATGGCTGAACGCATAAGCGGGACTTTTGGCTGATTTGGCGAGACAAGACGCTAAAAAGCGGGACTGTCCCGCCTAAATCGTGACGTATGGTAAGCCTATGCATAGAGTATAGTACCTTTGTGATTAAATTTTGAATAAATACTTGATAGAAACACCGTGATATCCCGTTTGTCTCACACTTGTCCAGCTTCTATCAGAGTCGTCCCGCTTGTTCATCATTTGTCCTGCTTATCTAACAGTTGTCAGGATTGGTTTACACCCGTTTTAATTGTCCAACACATGCCCTGCTTGCATCACACTTGACTTGTTTGTTTCACACTATCTGGCTTATCGAACACACGTCTTGATTATATCACACTTGCCAAATAATTGTCTTATCTATATCAATCAGGTCTTGCTTGTATCACACTTTTCCTGCTAGTCTCATACTTGCTATGCTTGTCCCACATTTGACTTGTTTCATCAATTTTGTATTGCTTGTCTCATATTCCTCCAGTTTCTGCCACAGTTTCACCCCTTGTTTCACACAAATTCTGTCTGACGGACAGTTGTACTGTATATTGCGCACTTGCCTCACACTTGTCCTGCTAGCAACACACTGGTCCCGTTTGAAATGTATTTGTCCTGCTTTTCCCACACTTTTCCAGATAGTCCCACACTTCTAATGCTTGTCTTATAGCCTACCTGCCCCTTAGTCCCACATTTATTCTGCTCGTCTCACACACGTCCCGATTGAATCAAACTTGTCTGCTTGTCCTCTGCAACATTGTTTCAAAAACTCAGCTAAAATATCACAAAGTTGGTTTGCTTTATCCGTCCATTGGGCATTCGGATCCAAATTCTATTGTTCAAAGCCCACCGTAACATGCTGGCATAGCACGAGCTACGTTGGTTCATATCTGACGCACTTTTGCCAATCAATATAATTACCTTCCGTAAAAGCATTAGGAGTTTTAGAAAGATCTGTAGCTCTGCAACTACCGGTAAATGGTCGACAAAAAACAAGTTCTGGACTGGAGCAATGTCCAAAAAAGCGCACATAGCAAATAGGGTGGGCGTCATTGTTGCTCTCGGTAGCTTCATCCAGCTGCAAGCCAAATATTTTTCCTTAAAGTGCTGACATAAATTGATCTTTTCCTTTCAATAAGGAATACATTTGACTGCTAATACCTTACTATAATAGATGTGATACCACGCTTGTGACACGAATCATTTAATATTTCGATTCACTTTATGCAACCCTAATTTTTTTTCAAATAAATTTTGTAAAATCTCGCGATCATGGATATGCTTGAATACCAAACGGTATGTAGTATCGTGGCTTTAATATTTGTTGCCAAGCTTTGCACGGTGTGATACTTCCCGAATACAATTACTACCGAGCATACTTCAATACAAAATAAACAATAAAATTTCAATTCGATTCGATTCTGAAATCATCAGGTATTCGAAAATGCCCTAGTCGCTACCCATAGTTTGGGAAACACTGTTTTATACAACACTCAATTTATAAATTTGTACTATAACCACATCGTATCAATCTGACGACAATTTGAAAACTATATTATCTATGAATGCGTTGGAAACCTTTTGCATTTTAACTCTGAGTTAGTCCGTGCTTCAGCATCAATCAAGTTTCAATTAGTTGGGAAAACAATTAAGATAAAAGTGGTGAAAACGTTCCTTCGCTGATGACAAATGACATGATCAAAAATCCAAGCAGAGAGAACCAGTTGAAACGACAGAATGCCTCAGCGCCGCCATTAAGTGGCCTGTTGATACAAGTTTGTTTGAACACCATACTTTCTCTGGGAAATTCTTTATGTTTGGTGAATAAGTTCCAAATGTTCAAAGTATCCTGGCCATCTGGTCTAGTTCTTCTGTTCTTTATGAAGACGGTCAAACCTGGAAAACACGATGAAAATTAAAAAAGCTGATGGCGCTTTTCTGGTTATTACTTATCGATTTTAATCGGTAAGTATGTTGATAGGTATCTGTCTGTCTGTCTGTTAGATGCACGCGATATCTCACGAAAACGAGATTGAATTTGCTCCATATGTTTCATGTGCGTTCATCATATCTCGGACCAGAAGCCTATTGATTTTGGGCGAATTATGTCGTATAATTAGCGAGTTATTAATTAATTAGTGATGGGACACAAGGTGTCACTATGGAGTGAGAGCGCTGTTTTGGGCGATCCCCTAACTTTTGATCGATAAGTCCTCGGTCTTTGATCGATATTCTCGTTTATCTCTTGGTTGAATAACGAAAGGTTAAGGTAAAAAAGTTAGTCTGTTCTTTGTGACTCATTTCTCGTCCATATTCTAGGGCAGGGCTACTCAACTATTTTTATCGAAGGTACGAAAACAAAACTTCAAAATTATTTGGGTCCGGTCTTTCCAGAAATGATATTTCGGCATCTTTAAACGAGCACTTCCTCGACCGACTAATGATTAGTAGCAAATTAAAATTGTTTATTATGGTGTTATAATTCTTTTCGTATATATTCAAAACTATGAAAGTCATTTTATAATAGGAAATTCAAAAAGTGGGGCTAATGATCCAAAATAAATAATTAGGTGCGGTCCAAATCCAATACTCGAAAGGTCCGGATTCGAACCGCGGTCCGCCAGTTGAGTAGCCCTGTTCTAGGGTATAATATTCATCCGTGTAAGATAATTGCATTCAATTGGTGCACATTGCATTAGTCTTTCCCCAAGAACTCGTCAGAATAGGACAGTTATTAATTCGCAGTCTAAATGGTGCTGTTTTTATTGTATTCATTTCATGGTGCATTTGACTGCTGATTGCTGTTTGTCATGACGGAGACAAGGCGATAATATGTGATTGAAGCGTGGTAAGACTTAACAAATCGGCTTCGTGATGTTTCGTGACGATATAAGTTACGGAAGTGCGTAGGAATGCACACGATTTCCCCCTAACTTGGCCGGAGACTACTATCGTTTGCATTTACATGCGTAGCAAAGCCCTTATTTCCGAGAACTAGAAGCAAGTGAAGAAGTGGAAAATTCCTGGCCAACTTCTGAAATATATTTTTTTATCCATTTTGTTATTATTAAGAAATTATGTAATCTATAAACTTTCGGACTACAATGTTTCACGCAATCTTAACTATATCTTCTGAACTGTTAACATTTCTAGAAATGTAAACCTGTTACTTCACCCGACCCCCATGAGTTAAAAATTCTGATAATAACTTCAAAGATCGCTCGTAATGGCCTAATTAAAAAAAAAATAATATAAAATACTCACCTTGTTTGGGGTCGCATTGGGCAACTATAAAATAATTGCTGTAATCCGTTACGAAGAAATACTCCGCTGAGAAAATAATCTCCGTCACTAAAAACATTGATATTTATTAAACTAGGAAATGAAGTAATGAATTTACCTTTGTTGGTCAACTATCTACCAATTACTTAATTCAACAAGCAAGATATTTCAACTTTTGAGTCAAGACATTTTGACATGTGTAACAAAATTAGTTTGCTCTAATTTGCATGTACAGTGAACCTGTCATTTTTCCCTAAGCTTGTTCAAATTATAGCCTTTACAGTAGGCAGTGTGAATAAAGAGTTACTCAAGTACACTCGAAAATGTTGCGACATGGAATCTGGAATTTCACCACGTGATATTTTCACGACATGGTGCCTGGTAGACTGAACATGAGTGGACAACTAGAGAGAACGATTTCCAAGCAGAATTACATGCTTCAAAAATCCACATGAAAATTATGGGTAATTATTTTATGTTCTTGAGACATTTCAGCATTTGACACATTTCAATAAATAGGTTTTCTCAATATTAATATGCTTGTTAATAATTCTGCATAAGAATGTAAATCGCGATAGTTGGGATGACCAATGCTTACCGACATCAACATCATTCAGCATCTTTTCATCTGCTTTATGGGAAAGAGATTCTTTTGTAGTACTAGCATAGGCCGATTCTGAAAAATCGTCATATTAACTTTTTCCTGTATTTAACAATTGAATTTGTCTATTTTAAAAATTCAGTTACTTTGAGAATGGCCAAATAAGATATTTTCGATTCAGATTATTTGAGAAAAAAAACAGGACTATGTCAGAAAATATAGTTCAAAATAAGTAAACCGTTATGATTGGGGTTGGGAATTTCTGGGAAAACATTTTAACGGTTAGCCGGGTAAAATTAACCGGTTAACTGGTTAACCGCAGCGTGATGTTTGACGATAAAATTTATAACTTTAGCTTATTACGTCACAAGCAATTTCGAGTGATCTTATCGCAGTATCGTTCAAAATTATTCACGAATGGAGGTAGTTTCATGATCGTTCTGGTGAAAGAGATATGCAGCGTGCTTCGGACATATGGGAGTATTTTGTATTCGACGTGCAAATTCTACTCTGAGATATCATAAAGAAAACAGCATCAACTGCGCACTTGTTGGATGACATTGAATATACGCTTTTGCAACAAAATCGTGAATAATATATTTCGACTGAAAACTGATTCGGAATTTATCATTGTCAAATTTTTACAATCCGCAATCTTGGTACTTCAATTATTTTTCACATCTATTGGGTCCTTACCAATACAGTTAGTGATATTATTTTGAATTAAACGCCGCAGGAGATAAATATGCGATGTCGCAATCATTATTGAAGAAATTGTACATTATAAGGATGATTTGTTCCTGAGATGTCAGTAAACGGTTAAAATAAATCGTAACCATTAGCCATCTAAAATCGGTTAACCAGTTAACTATTCCCAGGCCTAGTTATGATACAATAATATTTGACCCTTATATTACTACAAATATATGCATATATATATATATATGCTACATTTTTCCATGACAAAAAATCAATATTAAACAGACAAAAACATTTTCTCGCGTCGGTATTTGTGTATCGTTTCAACTGAGTGTATTTTACTCAAAATACAAGCACTGTGTATGAACACCACAAGTTCTCCGCTACATTTACCCAGATCGCCATGGGCCAATAGAACCAAACACAGATATTGTTTGGTTGGATGTCGAAACCTGCCAACCGTTGCGATCTATTCCCAGATCACACTTGGTAGCCAATGTTGACAAAGATAAATTATTATTGGCTATGTTAAGAAAAGGCATGGAATTGTTTTGTGAGTACAACTCGAACTACGAATCCACGAATTTGTTCCAAGAAACGGCTTTTGAGTAAAATAAAAGCATACTAACTGTGAGTCTGATTTACTGAGTATGTTCCGTCTCCATTCGGAAGAAAATGAAGATAAACATCTAAATGATCTTTAACCGGTCGACTGTAACAAAAAGAGATAGAAAACAATGATTCATTGTTGCAGGTTAAACGACATATTAAGAAATTTTATCGGCGCGTGGTATTTGTTGCACAATTAGCCAGAGGCGTAGCCAGCATATTTTGCGCCCGGGGCAAACTATAAAATTGGCGCCCCGACCTCCACGTTTAATCAGATTTTCTATTACATTTACTTGTATATGTGAAAACAAATTACATATATGTAAATTCAAATTTATATGTATTTATATATTTTATTATTTACTCAAAAATATATGTATATGTGTATTCAAATTTCAATGGAACAAAGCAAAGAAAGATAAGAAAAAAGAAGCAAAGCTATAAAAAATACAGCATATGTCCATAATGTCCCACTCGGTTACTTTCAAAGATGATTTACATAGTCTACAATAAATTTATTTTATTTTACTGTCGCAAACTGGTTAACACGTCATCAAAATATGTTTTTTTTTCCAATGTTTCTCTTTCAACACTTAGAAGTGCAAGATCACTGAAACGATCCTGTCCCATTGATGCACGCGAATACAACAAAATAAGTTTCAATTTGATGAATTCAGCTTGCAATTGAAACTGGTATTGTTAACAAAATTTGTAGAGAAATTCGCAGATTGGGTAAAACGTCGTCTCCAAAAAACACAATAAAACCAAGAGGAGCCAAAAGAGTTTCTGGTTGACCTTCAGTTCTTTACTGAGCAGCATTCTGCAATCTCCAATTTCGGGGAAAAGTTCGTGGCCATTGATGTCCGTGTCGTAAAAATTTGCAAAATCTGTGCAATCTCGACGAATTGTCGAAAAGGCATTGGGGTCTTTTAGCACAGTATAATATATTTTATGTAACTCTGCCGCAAAGTACGTTACTTAGACAACCACGAAATACAAAACCACGTATTACTCAAAACATGTATTAACATCATTCAAACAAATTCCGTTGCCATTTGTCTCCAGCACAGAACTAATATCAACATACATCGGAGTGCGCAGGCAAGAACTTATCGATACAGAACCACGTAATTAACCCCGTGCATTTTGTTACCTAACGTTACCAAATCAAATTTTGCTTTGTTTCCCTGCCAGATTTTTTGGCCATGTAATTACGATGGAAATCTGACCGTGCGCGAGCTATTTGCCTGATGACGTCGGCAGTCGACGTAAGTGGTCTGCCCAAATGTGCAGTTTGCCATGTTACTAAGACTAGACGTCTGCGCCGGTGCGATCTTGCTTGTGACCGCTTTTTTACCCTTGTTGTGAAATTTTCGCAAGCCCTATTTTGGCGCCCCTGTACCTTGGCGCCCGGGGGCATATGTACCCCCCCCCCCTCCTAAGCTACGCCTCTGCAATTAGCTACACCTCAATAGCGGTGAAGTTTGGGGATAATTGCATATTTTTCTCATTTTTATATACACTACAAGAAGGTGATCTTACTTTTTGATTTTGCGTAAAGGCAAATCTTATAGCAGGGGTCGGCAACCTTTTGTCGATTGCGAGCGAAAATTAAGGGTTGCAAGTGGCTTGCGGGCCGCACATATTTTTAGAAAGTTGAAAACCGAATGGATGATACTTTTTATAATAAAAATTAAAGAAGTGATAAATCTCTCGAATAAAATTATTTCCTCATTGCATTGCCTCTCAAAAAATTCCATTTGAATATTTTCGGCGCTATTGAACCCTTTGCAATTAGCATCAACTTATCTGTGTTTTGTTTCCATTTGTCTAATTATAATTAAATTATAGGCTCAATAAACGAGTAATGGTGAATTATATGCTTGTTAGATTATCATATATATTAGTCTACGCGTGCCTCACAATAAATTTTGTTACGTAAAGAATATAATCGTCAAAACAGCTATTTTGTTACTATAACTCAGCGAAGCGTCGCGGGCCGGATTATATTACTCCGCGGGCCGTAGGTTGCCTACCTCTGTTTTATAGCATCGTTTCATGTGAAAATGTTTTGTTTTATATGGATTTTGGACGTCTATAGACGCCAATTTTTTACATAATTTCCACGCGCAATAATGAAGACTTCGAATTTATCTATTTATTTTATCTTGCTGTAAAATATCTTTTTCGGTAAGTCTTGCCTGAGGTAGTAAGAGCGTGGCTCGAAAACATTTTCCAATTATCTCTAAATCATATCCAAGTTGCTCACCCTTCAGCATGTTGAGTCGCATTCATGGCAAATCCATTATCAATAGCGATGAAGCTGTTCCAATCCCAACAATCTATCAGATATTCGTATTGTGGATTATCAATTATGTCGTACCATGTTCCATTTAGGTTACTGAACTGAAAAAAACCGACGATTAGTAGAAAAATAGTTACAATGAAAACGAAATATATATTTTTCAATAACTATTGCGATTTCATGATGTGTGGCGCGGTAAATGGAAAACAGAATCAAATATTCACTCGTATCAACGTGACGTAATTCAGTAAAAGGACAATGCAACATTTATTTTTTGGGCGTAAATCGGGACATTTACAGTTCAGCACAGTTGCCATAAAGTTACAACAATATAATCGTTGAAAAAATACAAGTTTCAGCTATGTGGTTGTATCCCTTTACGTCATTTTTAGCTATCATTTAGCGACTTCTGGATTACTCAAGAATCGTTTATCAATAAACCCTATTGAAAAAATCTTAATTATTTTGGTATTATTGGTTAAAAATTTCCCGTATTTGAATATCGAAGATGAGCAATTTTCAAAACAGTTAAATTTACGTGGTCAAGTTGAATCTTCTCTGCAACTGTGGAATAGAATACAATAAGTGATAATTTTATTACGTCAATATTGTGCATGCATTTTTGTCAACTTTGTGATATATTGGTGGAAGACAACAAGAGATGAACAGAAATATTTCTTGGGTCCATTTGCATACGTTTGGGTGGAAACTACAATATCAAAAAATGATAGTACCCGCCGTTGTTGTACAACTTACAAACGAAGGTATATCGAAGGCGCAACTCCATAATCCAGGCCGCAGGGTAACAACATAATCATCTTATTCATATAAACGAACAGGTAACAACATAATCATCTTATTCATATAAACGAACAGGTAACAACATAATCATCTTATTCATATAAACGAACAGGTTTATTTTCTTCAAAGGAATACTAAAGCTGCCAATTTATTCGCGTTCAATGAGAATTTTAACACTGATTTTTCATAAGATTCCTATCAAAACAAAGAGTTTATGACAGCTTATCATGTATCATCATCCTTCAAACGCGAATTTTGTGTGCAGCTTCGTGAGAAGCACATTTTAAAATAGAGGTCCTTTGTACGTTAGAGCTACATCTTGGTTTATTTAGGAGATTCCACATCTTTCAGAAAAATTATAAAATTATCCACGGCACTGAAATGTTGAAAAATATTCGATGGTTTACATATATATATATATTCACTGTAATTCAGCCGCGGTTGATAGGGACTACAAGATCTACTACTTACGTTCAGTTTTGGCCCATGCCATCGATATGAACCCAAAAATAAGGACATCAAGGAAACATAATAATAGAATAACAAAGAACGGAATGTAATAAACAAAATGTATTCATGCCAGTGCGACCCGTGACTAAACATAATTTTCACTAGAAAGGATTTGTTCCAGCAGTTCTTTATTCTTAGAAACAATCTGGTCCATCTCACTTTTAAGTTGTATTTTGATTCAAGTTACACGAACTGATTTTGGCCAATAGGCTATTGTTTTGTCTTTGTTTCAATTAATTTGCTGTTATTACGTAATGAATGCGCTTGTAGCAATCAATACCATTTCTAGGAAATCAGTCATTCGATCTAAGTGCCTGGTATTAGAACCTCTATCCATAAAACAAGGACAAAAATAAGAACACATGTCAACATAAGGACGTTTCTTAGAAAAAAAAACGAAAATATTTTATAAGACAAAGGCCTTCAAAATAAGGACAAATCTTAGAAATAAGGACCTTATGGCAACCCTATCCATGGCCCATGGGTTTCCCAATACAATTCGTTTTATAACGGAGCAAAATAATTTTAAATGATATTGAATCATTGCAAAGTTTAAAATATTTACCACGTCTTCGATACAACCTATCGTCATGCTAATGAACAAATTGCGTATTTGGCTTTTGACGAATTTGGGTTTTTTCATTAAAACTCATCTAGATGTGATTTTGCGAACCAGCCTGTTGAATTAGATTTTATTAAACCGATAATAAAACGATTTTCTGAGAAAAGAACCTGTTTTGCCAATGTTAACTAATGCGTATTTCATACGTTTGTCTTCCACAGACACCGCCGTCGAAGCCGATAAGTTGCACGTCGTTATAAGTATCAGTTTGTCTTGTCATCATATAATGAGCGCTTCGCATCTGAAAAACCTTACGCAAATGAAGTTAATAAGAGGTATAATAATATAGATTCAGGTGGGTATATATCTTTATTTAATATTTGAAAATTTTCGTTAGTCTACGGCAGGGCTACTCAACTGGCTGACCGCGGTCCGATTCCGGATCTTTCGAGTTTTTGATTCGGACCGCATCTAATTCTTTATTTTGGATCATTAGCCCCACGTTCAAAAATTCCTTATATAAAATGACTTTTATAGTTTCTAATATATATAAAAGAACTATTACACCATACTAAACAATCTTGATTAGCTAATAATCATTAGCCGGCCGAGAAAGTGCGCGTTTAAGGATGCCGAAATATAATTTCTGGAAAGACCGGATCAAAATAATTTTGAAGTTTTGTATGCGGATCTTCGGTAAAAATAGTTAAGTAGCTCTGGTCTACGGTACCAACCCAAGTTATCCAGCATTTGAGGCGCGAATAGATTTTTATTTTGATGCGCTGCGCAGGAAAATGACATTGGGTACAACTGTTTTAGTTTAGTGGAAGACGTACTGGCAGCTATATTTATCTACAGTAGATATTAGAGAATTGTATAATTCCAGTTTATCTGTTATATGGCTTGTAACACTTCAACATTACTAAATATTATTACAAAGTTCGTTTTATCTAATTTTTGAATAAAACATATTTGAAACGAGACTTGGTTGTTAATGAAGAGAATGAAGAAAATTGGTAAGCTGTTAAACCTGAAAAATTATCCGACTGCTCAACGAAATTCCAGAATGGTTATTTCTATTTCAGTTTTCAATTAATATCGTTATTGTTGATATACTATTAATTGTCTTGTTACTTTATGTTCTTAGACTTTGGATAAAAGGAAACGCGTAAAACAGCGCCTCTTCAAATGGAAAAATTTGAAGATAAATTTTGAGCGAAATCGTCTTGCTGGAATAAATTATAAAAATCGGAAAGGGCAGCAAAAAACAGCAAGAAAAATGAGACTGCCGTACAAATCCATGTATTGTCAGAAGTCCAGATTACGCCAATGAGCAAGTCTGACAGAAGATAAAAAACAAAAAATGTTTTCAAAAATGTTGGGAAAATGGAATAGTGGTCTGAAAGACGTTTCTATGCCAGGGCTTTAGTATCGATAGTGAACTAGATTAAGAAGCACTGATTTCATGTCCCGATTTTTGCATCTTATTTACATAAGACTGTTTCGTAGCTTAGAAAAATTTCTGAAAATTTGTCAAGAAGAAAGACAACTTTTGAATGCCGTTTACAAAGAGAAAATCGAAGATGCATTCCGACGTGCAAAAAATAGTTTTCAGCTATAATTGAAAGTAGCCAATAAACATTGCTGTCGTGGCTGGAAAGTCCGGCACCATTCATAAAGTTTTTGACCCGCATCGTTCACGAAAAGCTGTGTAGCAAAGAAACATACGACATAAGAAAACGGAACGACTGTTTAAAACCCTATTACTTTATATTATGAAGAAGCAAGTTCTGAAAGACGAGGTATTTACATCGCAATGTCCAGGGAAATATTCAACAGATAAAATAATTCGACATTTCGCCCAAGAAAGAGATTTTCCTATGGAAATATCGATGGTTGAGAGTATGGAGCTCATATAATAGCAATGTATGCATGTAGCAAAATTGTGGGTGATTGGGTATCAAACGTAGTGTGACAGCGCGTATGTGATTATGTTTACCATAAAAGAATTGATGTGTACATTGCGTATCACACATTTTTTTGCGCTTTTTGAGCTCCAAAGTTGTCGGTGAAGCAAGTTAAGTTAGAAAAAATAGAGCTGACAATGGAACAATTCAATTGTATATTGCTTCATAAAAGTTCAGCTACACGTTCCAGGCAGTAGACGGTATAGCTTATTTCCATATAGGTAAGTTATGATAAAATGGGATGTAGGCAGGGCTACCATCGGGTGTCAAAAGGGTAATTTTCTTTTTGGGTTACTTATCAACGGCGCAAACGCAGATTAAAAATGAGGAAGAAATCATACACGAGTTTCTTCCGCACTCCCAATTTTATATATTTTTTATTTAATAGAAGTCGCTTTGAACAAGGTTGTATGCAGCCCTCCCCCCCCCCCCCCCAAAAAAAAAAATCGCAAAAAATACATACATGGGAAGACATGAAGTCACAGCCACACGAAACCTCTAAAGTTTTCAAACTTAGGTTTCCCGCAATTCTTCTTGTGTTTTGTGAGCACTAATTGCTGTTTTTTCAGGCCAGTCAATATCGCTTTTGCAATAGCATAGCTTTTACCCTTTCAACTTTGTTTGACATTAGGAAATTCCTTTCATATTCGAAACGCAACTCATGCTTACGCATAAGCTACGAATTGTCAAATTTATGGCTTGTCTCCAAAACAGTATTCCTAAAAACTAGCAGCAACTATTGTAACTGTGTCACAGTTTGCCTATAAATATCGCAAACCCCACCGTTAACAGAAAAAGTTTGAGCTGAACATCGTCCCTCGTTTCCACGGAAGCTCTGTACCCAAAACAAGAACGAGTCCTCCACGTTTCTAGGACAAAATAAGCACACAACTAAAAAATAAGCACTTTTCTTAGAAATAAGCACATCGTTGCTTTATAAGACACGGGCTAGAAAATGAGCACAAATTTTAGAAATAAGCACGATATGGTAACCCTGTGTGTAGGTTATTATTGAAAATTAAAAAAAAGGTAAATTAACCAATCTGTATATAATACATCTAATAAAACTCTTACCTTCTCCCAATCAATTGTCTCATATTTCACTCGGGGACAGAGACGTGTAACTACTGTTCCCACCAATAATAATAACGTCAGCATGTAACCTATAAAAATGCCCATTTCTTGCTCACGATGCCCTTGAAGCGTAGAAATCGATTGCAGTTTTTTCGGTGCAAAAATTCGTAAAGCTAAAACAACATTACTAAAATATTGCCTAAGGCAGCGGTTCCCCAAACTTTTTGACTCAATTATCGTTAACGTGTATTTTATTTATTTTGAAGTTTGTAAAAATGTAGATAACGCCATATTATTTACACTTATTTATTTAACGATAGGTTTGCGGCTGCTGCTTTGAAAACATCGTTCCAAAGCGCAATGTTATACTTATTATGCACAGGCGCGTTTCCAGGCTTGTCCAAGGGACATATTTTTTCTGTCCAATCCTATGGAAATTCATGACTGTCCCATCCCATGGGGTTCCAATGGATGTTTCCCTGACCTTCGATCTCCGAAAAATCCTCTACTTCACCATTCCAAATTGTAGGTATCGCGAGTTGGCGCCTACACACTGGTTTCTTGCAAAGTGACTATAAACCAAGTGAGGACATGCATTGGTAACGTTATAAGCGCTCGTGTGACGTCACACCAGCCATTTTGTGTCCAGATTTCTATCGCTGTATGATCCTAACTCAGTGATTTAAACCTGCGATCGTTCAACAGCTGAATAAAAAAAACGATGCTCAATAATTCGGACCAAACTTTCGCAGCGGCAAAACGAATGAAAATTCTTCTGAAAAAATAATTACCGGCAGATGTTTCTCGGATAACTTGGCTCGGCGGTATGGTCAGCATATACGAAGTTAAGATTAAAGTCATCCAACTTTACTCGATAAATCAACACCCGATAAGACCAAAATATTAAACAAAAAGATGCACATTTCATTATAAAATTCCTGATGTAAGTATCGCTACTTGCACAGAATCTATTTTAACAAACGGGCAGAATTACAATACAAATTATACTACAGAAACTTGCACTATTTTTGCGGTACATGTCATGATATTAAAATATGTGTATCACAAACAAGGTGTACATTGCCAAAATAATATTAAAAAAATATACTACATGCATGGAATGAAGGATAACGGCGTATACTAAGTTTACAAAACATCTAATAATCTGGAGTGTATAAAATAATATATTATCTATTTGACTTGAGCTTTTGCCGCAGGTCTACTAGCTTACCGTTTTTCAATAATTTTATTTGTCTCCTCTTTTGCGTGAATATTTAACCCTAAATTGAGAACACGTTTCAAAATTTTAAAAGTGATATTGTGGCAAGATGGGAAATTATATTTTAAGCAACTTTATCTGTCAGAAAAGTAACAGGTGAAAATATATTATGAAAGGCATTAATATTGGCGCGAAATATAGTTTATATATACTTCGCGCAAAAATACGATTGCTTTTTTGGATGGGTGGCATAAATATTGGGTAAAACTATCAATTTTCAAATATTTATTATGTGTGTAAGACCCAAAAAGAGTTAGTAACGATTGTGGGCATTCATCGGGATTGACACTTTCCATAGAAACAAATAAATAATTTGAACCCCGTGTCTTTATAGGGTTCCCCCGGAAACATCAAGGCTAATTTTTCACTGTTGGATATCGATAAAATTACAATTAAGTTTCATAAACGAGAACTTAGAAGACATGATGGCGTCGCTAGATCACCTAGTAAACCTTTTACATTTTCCGACGCAAAAGAATTGAAATACCCTGCCAATAATAAGTTGATAAGAGCTGCAACACCAGTCGCGGGGGCTGGTTTTTAAATTTTGTACGTTATAATGTACATGGTTCGATGAAATTCATTAGGCCGCACAATGTGCTAGCCATGAGATCGTTTACAATCTATAATTTTAGACCAACTATTGCAACAGCTCGTTACATTAAGAAAAATTTTCCCGAGAAAATTCCTTTTATCGGCTTCTGGAATGATTATTGTAAAACGCAGGCTTTAAACTTTCAGGATGGTGTGAACAGGTATCATAATACCAGTTCAAATAGTACCTGATTTAAACGTATGCATTAGGTTAATGACGTTTCACACTTGCGAAGGAAAGCGATATGTGTTTTTCATACGGAACGTTGCGACGTAATTGCGTAACGAAGTAATTAGGGAACGTTGTTGTTTAACTCAAGTTGGCGCAGTGGACATGTCAAGAATTGGAGAACATTGAATGAAATAACTTATACAATTTTACTGGTGCACGATAAATTTTATCTAATGTCGAAAACTATCTTTAACTTCTGCAAATGTGTCGATGTCATATTAGGTTAAAACAAGAACAAATCGAAGTTTTTGTTATTTAATTCAAAAGCTTTTCGAAAAATATTCCACGCTTTTCAATTTTGCCGATTTTTGTATGATAATCGCGACATTTTATCTCCAAATCATAATTAGAATTAGTCTTCTAGATTGTCTTTCAAACAATATAAAACTTATCTGCATATAATATGGGGTTCGTGAGATATGAGGTTTCAAAGTTACATAACTCACACAGGATGATAAGATAACTATCGCAACTTTCACGAAACCGCACGATACCAGTATGATTCCACGAGGCAAATAGCAAAAGAAAAACGATGAAATTATCCGAATAAAATGCAAAACAGTAAAAAATCTTCAAACAAATTGACGAACGAGACCTCCTGACGAAGCTAAAACAAACCGACGCTGGCGCGTTGCCCCGATTCGCTGGACACAAAATGGCGTCCGATATGCATCATTGCATTCGTTGTCTCCACTTGGTTTATAGTTACTTTGGTTTCTTGTTCTATACCATTGTTTGGATTGAAAACAGTCAACAATCTGTCATTTAAAAGTACTGGGGGGGAAGTTTCGCCTGGTTTATAACATTTATTTTAAGACTAATTTTTGATTACTGCACTTAATTGAATCTCCTATGAGACAAGGTTATAATTGATTTATTTGATTCATATTTAAATTTTCGAAACATAACTAAAAACTAGCAAATAATATGCAAAAACGCGAAAACGAGGTTATGTTCCCAACCATGCCTGAAAATCTGTCTGAGCAGCTGCTAAAACGTCTATTGTCACGTCACTTTTTGCATATTACTGATTAGTTTATGTTACGGGAGTAAACAGAGAAGTCGATTCTCGGGGAAACATCTATTGGAACAATGACTTTAAACAACATGATAGGCAACTCTGACGTCACTCCATAAGACTACAGGCGAAAGATTGTATTTCATGATACGCTCCAATGCACATATTTCTCGTCGCCTTTCGCGTCCGTTTTCCGCTCGCTTTTGCTACTCGGCGTCTTTTTTCCGTGTAGTACCTGTCTTTTTGCGCCTGTAACGAAACAAAATAATCTCTATATCTAAGAAGTTTTGCTCACTTAGAAAGCTGGAATGGCAGGCAAGCTGTAAAGAGCAATTCTGGACATCATAGACGTTTATTTTTATCAGAGAAGATTACAAACGCGATAGCGGAAAGATTTGTGTGGAACATTTTGCAGATAATGACAAAGTTCAAAGTTAGTAATTTTAATGTTTGCGCTTAATCATTGAAATTTCATTTAAAGAGGCTGTCATACAAAACTGTGCTGTGATACAATTCCATAACACAAAGTTTGCACCTATCGAACTTGCTTTTGTAGGTGAATTTATTAGACATATTACATATTCAGTTAATCGTAGGTAACATTGCTGGTACATAATGCATCGTAGATAGGTTTGTTTAAATTTAGGAATTTAGCTCATAGCCCACTAATTACTGCTGAATTCAACTTGCAGCCTTACCGACCACCGGACGATGCTCATTTAGTTTGGCTCGAGCAAGTCTTCTTGAAATGCTTGTGTGGATGGAAACTACCTATATTTTTTGCCTTCCTCCGATTTTAGACAAATTTATTATGAGGGATTTCGCATATAATTCTCATTGATTGTTGGCTGTTTATAATTTCTATTGATTGTGAATTCTGATTATAATAAATAGTTAAAAAATTTTTTATCTAATTTACTGGCACCTTTCTCTTGTCAATACTCCAAGCTGAGGTAATAAACAAGACAATACATTTATGTCATCTGAAAGCAAAATATGCACACTAATTAATAGTTTGGCACATTGAGATAATACATCATGACAGAAAATACAAGTTAAAGATATGTATGACCATCACATGGTAATTAAAATTAAAAAAAAATTAAAAGGGGCTGTGGAGTATGAAAAGTTCAAGACAAAGAAAAAAACAAATGTTCATAGCTCATGAACTCTCAATTTTGCCTCCATTGCTTTGTGAAGGCCAATATATTTCGAGTGGCTGAATTGGTTTACCTTTATGATAGCAACGATTTTGTATTTAATATAGCGAGATTATTTCACTTTAATTGAAGTGATATTATTTCCCAAAGCAATGCTTGAATCGTCTAGAATAGATCATTGGTGTCAAACTTAAGGGTTTTCGAGAGCCGCATTGCATTTTGGAAATTGTAAAAAGAGCCGCAAACAGTTTTTGATAATGTATACTTAAAAGATATTTTTAAGATAGTTGTAGTTTGTGACATATATTGTGATGCAACTAAACAGTTGGATTAAGTTTCATTATTTTCTTCAATTTCAAATGCAATTACATATTAATATTTGCATTCCACTATTATTGCAACAATTGCAAGTTACTGTATTTATTATAAAAAATCATAAAATTCTATGTACAACCATCAAAATCATTTTTGAACAAGCTTTGAATAAGGAAAGAATAATACATACACTAAAAATAACTTAATCTAAATATATGAACCTAAAATTAACAAAAATACTACAGTACAAACTCAATGTTTTAATAATTACATTTGTCCTGACGTTTGGCATCTTTTTTGTGTCACCAGCATACTAAGGACAGGCTGAAATGATTTTATAGTACCAACTCTAACTAACGAGGCCACATGATCATGGGTTAATCTGGATCTTTGTGAATGTCTAATTAATTCCAGTAATGCAAAAAAGTTACTTTTATCATTTCATGTATAGATCAGTAAAAAAACAAATGACAGATTTTTTCGACAAGACATTTCGCACCACATTGCGTGGCATAGGATTGCTTGAATTATTATTGATATTGATTTTTAG